CACGAAATGTTGGAATTATTTAAATTTCAATTGCTAAGATTATTTTAAACATAATTACGAAAGAATCATTTGTGTTTAAACTTGATTATTCCTTTAAAACAATTTGCATGTATGATTACAGATACTGATTAGACTATTCTCAGTTCCCATACGGATCTGTGTTCTTAAAATGACAGGAATTTTTAAACAATTCAAATGTTAAATCAGTTTGCTTGAAGTAAAAACCAGTTAAAATAAAAAGGCGTACAAGTATAGCTATGTAAGACAATAGAAGAGTGATTGATAAAATTGCGAGAAAATGGAGTTTATTTAAAGATGTGACGTAGTTACGTAATACATTTTAACAACTCTGATCATACAGTTGTCAAGGTATTTCAGATGAAAAATAAGAAAGGTCAAATAAATATAAAGTGATCATCAAAAATATATAATAGAAGGATTATTCAATACATAGATGATAACATGTTGTCATATCACGTATGACATGAAAAATCGGTTAATGATTACCAGGACAGGTTTTAAAATGAAGTGCCATGACAAATAAATATATGATCAGCTTAATCGAAATCATATTAGCACTTACGTCACTTTCTTCAGATCAACCTGGTCTTTTCAATATCAAGATTTCAAAAGCGAATAATTTTATTGTAACTGAATGGTTATCATTATTTTAATATTACTAGAAATCATTTGGAAATCCGTCACGACATTTACTATATTCTTTCTGACTTTAGGTAGTCTTTCAACCGTTTGTGACAACTTTCAGTCGTTTAGTTCGATAGTGAATGATAAAAAGTAGTTGAAAATCTTTTTAATCATAAATAAGTCAACTATTGTAGTAACTGGCTTTAAACTATGCACTGTGACATGAACAGGAAAACAAAGAAGCCGTGACAAACAACGGAAAATATCTTTGGGAACGTTATTTAATCTAATTCAAAGTTTGTAAAAAAATTGTTTTTAGATTTTTCCCTAGTTTATTCTATAAACCATAAGCTTTCGTTTGATGCATGATTCACTGCCATACTCTTTTCTGTTACAAAGCTATGGTAATTTAAACGTATGGTATGTGCTACGCACCTTTTGAAGTGCAAAGTACTTCTACAAGACTGGCAGGATTCCAATCCTGTATTCACCCTGGATGGTGAGCAGATAGACGTAGTCGAGAAGTTCGTGTATCTGGGTAGCTGCATAAGTGCTGGTGGGAGCGTGAGTGGTGAGATCAATGCACGAATAGTGAAAGCCAGAGCGGCTTATGCCAATCTGGGCCACCTTTGGCGCCTTCGTGATGTTAGTCTGGCTGTAAAAGGTCGGATCTACAACGCGTCGGTGAGAGCAGTTTTGCTCTATGCTTGTGAAACCTGGTCTCTCCGAGTTGAGGACGTTAGACGACTCTCTGTGTTCGGTCATCGCTGTCTCCGAAGGATTGCTGACATCCAGTGGCAACACCATGTTGGTAATGCAGAGGTTCGGCATCGTGTGTTCGGGCACAGAGACGATAATGCAGTTGGTGTCATTATCTTGAAACATCGACTTCGGTGGCTTGGACATATTCTACGAATGTCATCCCAGGAAATTCCACGTCGTGCATTATTTGCCAATTCTGGGACTGGTTGGAAGAAGCGGAGAGGTGGTCAGTGCATGACATGGTGTCGTGGTATGAAAGAAAGCTGCAAAGAACTAGCTTCTGTTGGTCCTTCACGACTCCCTGGTTGGGGTCCGAGAGATGGTGCAACACAGTGGCTAGAGACTTTATCAGATATGGCTGAGAACAGAAGCCAGTGGTGATCCTGCTGTAACCTTCTTTTACTTTCTTCATAAAAAGTGGTTGTAACCTCCTTAATTGAAAGAATTCTTTCTGGTTGTACATTTCCGTTTCCCCCATTATTATTACACCACCATACACTAATCTGTGGTTGTTATGTTCTCTTTTTTTCCTTTCTTCTCTCCTATACACAGCTTACATTCTTCTTCTCTTGCCATTCTATTGTTTTTTGTGACACATATATATCTGGTGCCCCTTTTGACCAATACTTATGTGTTCACATATATAAATAAACAGTGTTCAGTTTATTTATGCGTAAATGTCTCGGCTGATCTACATTTTAGTGGCATGACAGCTTATCAATATGTTAAAAACTTTACAATAATTAATTTATGCATGAAATACTTCATCGACTGAAGTGACGACCACATTGGCCCAAATGGAGTTAAATCTAAAGTGAGGTATTTGAAATTTAGTCAACACAGAGATTGTTTATAATTTTACTTTTATTAATATGAAAGGTAAACTGAAAGTTACAATATGAAGCATTTTAATTAATTACTTAATTGAGTCAATAGCTAATGGAATTATGCGAAGTGATTTTGTCCGACTTTATATTAAGATAGTTAGTGGCCAGACTACTATGAAATTGGCATAGTATCTAGTTTATCTGACGTTGGTGATCATCTACTACATTAATTTCTTTTTGGCATAAACATTAGTTACTACAAGATCAGTTTTTAGTTAAATCCGAATAAAGTATAGGCTAATTGTTATGATTATCTCATTTATTTTGATATAAATTATAATCGATCGAATTCTATGATCTGTTTCTAATTCTAACTTGACCTATATTATAAGTCACACTATTAAAAATAATTATCGTTATAGCATATACAAGTCAAAGTATCAAAGGAATAAAAATCACCTGACTAATAATTTCAGCAAATAAGTTTAATAAGTCAAGAATGCATAGTTATTACCAATGTATAATATAAATATCTGTATTATCAAGCACAAAGCTGAGCCTTTAATTTATTTGATATAAACATATTAGGTTCACTATAAACAGAAATCCAAAAAAAGTTTTAAATTATACCTAACTAAAAAAAACAAGTCAAATAAAAAGATCTATATATGATAAGTTAGGATACATTTCATAAACTAAGAAAGTAACGATAGTAGACAGTATCAAGGTTTCATTTTATGTGTTGAATTTAAATAACAGCATGGGGTTGTGGAGATTATTAACTTTTTGATAAAGATCATGAACCAATTGATGTCAGGCTACCATTGGAAACCTGTAAGCACTGGACGACCGGTTCGTCCCATTGCAGGACTCCTTAGAAGTGAGCATCCACGATCCCGCTAGCGGGATCCGAACCCAGGGCCATCGGTCTCGTGAACGACCGCTTAAACTCTACACCACTGAGCCGACATTAAGGTGGTCTGATGTGGCTTATTGTTACAAGTTAACCATGTACAACCGGTAGTTAAAGAAGAAACATTAATTCAATACTTCATAAAATAATTAGAATGTTTCTTAAATATAAATGAGGAGAAATAATGGTCTATATATATTTATACGCTAGTATAATCACATATTCATTATTAAATGAAGACAGAAATCCTAATTTATTTCATACAAATATCTCTAGATGATATGGTTGGAAATGTTTAAGTGTTTACACGGATGCATTAATTCTATATGATCAAATTAATGTAATCAAGTAACAGTAGAATAGTTGAGTTCATGGGTCAATTAAACCTAGACCACCATGGAAAACCTGGAAGCACTGGACAATAGAATAATCAAAATCAATCAGTATGATATGATAAAACTATGACATAAACTTCTCAAAAATGTTTACATAGAACAAAACTAAGTACAACATTTATTATTTAACTTAATGATCAAACAAAGTATCCAATAAAATGGTAAATACTACTTTTCGACTAGAAATATCAAGATTTAGGTTTGAATCTTTATACACTAGAATCCAGTTAAAGCAGATTCAATATACACAACATCTACGGCTTAATAATTAATATCATGTTACATAAAAAAATTACTCATTCAGTATTTAATAACAATAGATTACACCATAAACTGAATTTAGATAGATAAGCATTGTTTAGTGTTCTTCAGTTTTTAATGTTTGTCTAACTGACGACAATATATATTCCCAACTATCTTCATATTGAACAATCTTCACAAATCGATCAACCTAATTTGATTAAAATTTTAATAATCTCATATACTAGAAGGGTTTACAAAGAGAACTTAGCTAGTTACACAATCCTATTTTCACAGATTGAAATCATGAGTCAGTTGAAGCTAGATCACCATGGAAAACCTGGAAGCACTGGATGGCCGTTTGTGAGATATCAGCTCACTGAACACAATGGTATACGGTGGCGCAACTTCATGAATTGGTTGAAGTTAGACATTAACACTGTTGGATGCCGGCCGACTCAGTGGTCTAGTTGGTTAAGCGCTTGGCGCGAGACTGACAGGTCCTGGGTTCGAATCTTGCGGGGTGCAGGACCGTGGATGCGCACTGCCTGAGGAGTCCCATACAAGGACGAAACGGCCGTCCAGTGCTTCCAGGATTTCCATGGTGGTCTAGCTTCAATTGACTCATGATTTCAATCTGTGAAATTTCTAAAATCTGCACAAACCCCTTCTGAAACAACCCTATTTTCTTGAATCATCTATCTATCTATATATATGATTACAAAATAGTTCTGCATTTGTACTAATCGTTTGATTTCTTCATGAAATAGAAAACCGCAAAATCAATATCATAAGGAAGTCTTCATTTTATTTTCATTATCCTGTATTTTATAGAATGAGCATGACAATTAAAGTAATACTTAGTAAATGTTTCTTGTGTTTATAAATTAGATTTAACATATTAATACATTAATTTTTCGATGTAGTAACTTTATTTTTGAGTTGACATATTTTTTGTCCACCATAGAAATATCTTTCAAAAATAAACTACGACTATTCTTATCGATTGTGTTCGTTCAACTGAAATGTGTAAAATTACACTAAACTACATTTAAATTAATAACTTTTACAAGACAAACTACTATCTTAGATAAATCGTATTCTTATCATTAATTTAATTCCTTGCAAAAAGTCAATTCGTGAAAGGCAATAACAGTTTCTAATCACCAATACAACCTGGCCTAATACTCCTTTTTAAAAAAACAACAACAACTAAAATTGAACTCGAAAGTAGTTTGTTCATTTTAACTAAGTGAAATTATGAAGTGAACGTACGAAATTCAGAATGGTTATTTTTTTTTTTAAAAAAAGATCATTAATCTTCAGCTTTTAATGAAAAGCTATAGATGTCACAAAGAATTGATATATCTGGATTTGCTGTGAATTTTATCAAATATTTGGTTGAGGCACAGTTGTCAGAAGTATGGTAGAGAAGCGTGAGATGAACAATATCGATGATTGAGAAATTGAAACATCAGTTGTTCCTTTAAATATTCTACTGCCAAATGTCATTGGGAATGTTCGAGACACAAATTTGACCTAAAATTATTATCTTAAAACTGAGTCAATTTCTGTTCAGGTAAAGATAGAAATTCACTTATTGTTAATATCAGTAGAAAAAGGCTTTCATATATTGAACATACGACTGGTTGTAAATCATAGTGATATTACTAATGAATATACTCGATTAATGCTAGTAATATTACTTAATAAAAATGAAATACATGGATACTAAAGTAACAAGAGTTTCAAGATAATCCCAAAAAAATTATTTGCTGCAGATAAACTAAGGGATAATATCTTGTAGGGTTAATGTGTGAAACTAGTATCCATGACAATTATGTGCTATAAAGCTAGTGTGCTGCACTGCAAAATTCGGCTAGTTCTTACACAGTGATGAGATACAGTACACATTGAAATGATTCAAGATTATGACATCATGAAGATATTGATAGGCATTTATAATTGTTTTATGTCAACTGAAATTATTTTTATTAACATATTAGATATTTCTTTATGAATAGTCCATTTTCTATGATTCTGATAGGTAGGAGAATCTGAACGATAGTGGAATTGTGATTCATTGGTTGAGAAATGTAACGTTCATCTGTTGTTCTGAGTTCGAACACGATCTCACATATGATGATATGACCAGTCACATACTATCACCATCTATCAGACACACTATATAATTCAAATTCTTACTCCAAAAACTGTATAATGTTACTCAGATAAGTGATGTAGCATTTACAATGTATTAGTTAAAATTATTATACATGAATAAGGAGTGTATTCATAATATCTAACGAATATCAATAACCATGCACAACAAAATATACTACCAATAAATATTTTTCCATTATCGTCTAAGACAAAAATGTTGTAATAAGAAATTTTCGGATTTCATAACAAGAAATTTTATTTGTTATATGGCTGGAGGCAAGTGACAGGAACATTTGGAACTGAATTTCCTGCTAGTGGGAACTTGTAGGCAAAGTGTATCTAAAATCTTGAGGAAGACGATGCTCCTCGTGATATTAGAATGGGAGCCATCCAGAGATCACAGTAATCTAGCATTCGGGTCACGACTAACCTTCTATAAGATAGGTGATTTTCAACTGATTTATCACTGAACAAATTAAATAATGCTATATCCTTAGCGCTTATCGTATTGTATTAAAGAGTACTGAAATCACGAGAACGCAGATACGCCTAGCTGTCAAGCAGTAAACTGGCACAAAAGCTAGCTTCAGAACTTCCTCTTGATTTTCTTCAACAGGTTAAAATCAAAACATAATCTACAGGCGAAATCAGACGAACTAGATTAGAAGGGGAAGTCACAATGTAAATTGATCAATGGAATACAATCACTGATGATCACTAGATAAACATCAATTAATACTCCATGACCGAACAATATAAAATTGTGTTGTCTAACCAATATTACTTGAGATAAAGTTACAGTGTGATTCTACTTTGATCCCCTTTAACAATTCTATTTCATATAGACATTGTTCGCTAATAACAACGATAATACAAAACAAATTTATCTTAATTGTTGAACTTTTCTTGCTTAAATAAGAGATGACATAAGAAAAAAAAAGAAAGATAAGGAGAGCATCAAAAGTTTTTAAAAAAATTTCATTGTATCATGATTATTGTTATTATTATCAGGAACGAAATTGCGTTGGCTTTATTCTGTATGGGCCAGAAATATCATAGAAATTAAACAAAATGGTTTATCTTTTAAATTAAAAAAAAACAAGATAAATAAACAAAATAGATAAAGAAAAATACAAACAAAACAGTGATACATAAGAAAGAAATCAACACAAACAATAAACACATGTCATAGCAATCACAAATGACAGATCAAGAAAATGATAGTAATAATAATTTTCTGATATATTTCAGGGGGAATGAAGAGGGGGCCAAAAAACTAATAAAATAATTATTAAAACAATAAGTCTATTAAAATAATCATGATTTCCTAACTCAATCAATACATAAATAAAAGATAAAATAATGACATTGATCGTTGTATAATCTCAGTAATGGATAATAAACACAAACAAGTGTATGCGTATGCAAGGTGGGATGGGACTAGGCAATAAAGTTTCCTAACAAAAATATAAAAACAAAACAAAAAACTGTTTGCAAAATAATAAGCCAAAGAAAGAAAGCATGAAAGACAAAACCAGAAACAAAAACAGTAAGAAGAATGAGAATAACCAAATAAAAGTGCCAACAGTACTTACTGGTAACACGCACACATACAGATACAAGCAAGCATACAAACACATTTAGTAGATAACATAGTAATCATCATTATCAACGCTTTTTCGATTTGGTTCAATAGATCAATGCACTATTATTAGTGAAATTGTCAAATGTATACGACTGTTGATGGTGATGATGTAATAATAATGGTTGAGACTGTTGCTGCTGTTGTTGTTGTTGTTGATAATCAAGATGATATTGACTATTTTGATGATAATATTGTGGATCAAGACTTAATAATTCATAATTGTCGTAACATTGAAATCTATTAGAATTTTGAAACATATAATTTTTACCGTAATCAATGAAATCATCATCATCCTCATCATAATTATCGTTATCAATATGATTATCCGTATAATCATATACATGCTTATAGAAGTGATGTTGGTCATTATTAACTGTAGAAAAATAACGATTATTTATAAAATTTTTGAATTGTAATCCATTTATCATATGATTGAATGGTTCATTAGAATGATTGAGATCATCAGAGATCGGATTGAATTCATTTGTATCTTTATTGTTAATTGGTGGATATAAACGAGCTGATATGGAGAAAATACAAAATTAAGAAGGGGAAAGAAAAACAATTATATTTCCACGTGAATACGAATAAACACTTTTTTTCTTCTACGGTCGGATGATTTCTATAAACAAACACTGAGTGATTGGGGTGTTCACTTATATAACTGATTTGGAATGATTTAAATGTGGTAAGTCAGGGTAATAAACTCTTCTGAATGAATTGTCCGAGTCTCGCTTTCGTTAATTTCATGAACTCAGAAATGCATGGTCGAAATCATATTTAACACTGTTGTAGCTTATACTCAACCAATTATTAAGCAAAGAGCTCATGCTGATGATATTTGTTGAGGCTTTATACAAACTGCTTACTAGTTAATTACGTCATTGTTATTAAAGATGACTAATTCGCTGGTATGTTGTTCCACCTGTTCGTCATATTTGTTGACCACGATCTCAACACCATAAATTTCTCTGGTTTCAACCTTATGATCTACTTTTTACAAAGTCTCTAGATAATATTCCTTGAAATGAAAGAAAAAACACAACTGATCTGAAACAATTTGTAGAAAGCTCAGATACTTTTTTAATTTGTAAAGGTTGTCGAATGAATCCTCAAATAGGTTAACATGAAAACGTTTGAGATGGCTATCTTATTCTAATTTTTCAAAGATAGTTCAGTTTATTGTTTGTTTGTAATGAAGACTATGTTGAACGATATAGTAGTTAATCCTTATTTTTTAATTTAAATATGTCAAGTGTGACCAGCCATCGGGTAGATAACTCAGTAACTATGCAAACGTTAGTGAATTTGAGTTAAAGACATATTGTGTATTTCTTAGTGTTAGTGCCTGGCTCTCTAAACTGTTAGAGGTGAAATACTAAATCACAATCGTGTGGTTGAAAGTTTATTATTTACAGTAATTTCTAACTAACAACAGCAGGAAATCTGTATTTTATAAACTTATAATCTAAAAAAGCTACTTGCATAAAACAAAATTAATCTGAAGTAGTTTGACCGTTATTCAAAGAAAAGAGTAATGGAACAAATAAAAATATATAAATAATATTAAATAATAATATTATATATCGATATACTCACGCTTTTTATGAGGAATAAGATACACATCGTCGAATTCTGTATGGACAACATCATTAATTACTGGAAAAATATGAGCCTGTGGAAGAAATGTTGGCCTGTAACCCTTTGCCGAATAATCAAAAATATTCACGGAAGTATTACTTGATTCGATATGTGGCTTTTGGACAAAACGATGTGAATTTGAGTTATTGAAACAGCGGCCATGACAATTTGCGTACGGATGATAATGACTGTGATCTGAAAATTCAGACATTTTTATATTATTGAGTAGATTTTGGTTAGATGGATCCCTCTGATATTCACATTGCTCAGAAGAACTGAACAGTTTATTGGGTAAAATTTGTTTGAATGCCTAAAGTAATTTAACGAGAATTTTAGTTGGAATTATTGTTGTTAGAAATGTGACAAAGAAATTTCTAATACAAAATGAGTAAAACAGAAAACTGGAGGAATTTTCTAAAGGAAAATAGAGGTTTTAATAAATAATTTATTTAGACATTCAGGTTATGAAATCCTGAATTCACAAAAAAGAAATTACAAACGAAAAGGATCTACTTTGGCAAAGCTAATTTTTGAAATTTTGGAGTTTCGTTGACAAATGTTTCAAAATGTAATACAAGCTCCACGCCATTGCCATGAACATACATCCAGATAAATGGAAAGTAGTACGATATATGTGTATGATATTTAGTATTGTTTAGGTTGTAATATATTATATATTTTTTAATAAGTATAAAAGTATAATTCCATTAGCTGTTATCATTAGTAGTACCAACATACATTTCTATTGTACTAAGGAAGTTTATCTGTGTACGAATCACACTACCACTGATAAGTTATCGAGTAGTGGTGATGATGAATACAAGCATTTTACTATAGTGTGTTGTAGAGATTGTTTACTTTTAAGTTTCATGTTACGGACTGATTCTGGTTGAACAATCTCTGGAAGTAAGAAAATACTAAACAGACATTTTGTCCTAGTATGAGGGTCCTCAGTGGTGTTCATCCACTATTCTGCCGTGGGTTAAACCCAGCTCTTTCATGCACTGGTTAGCTGCACAATGTGACGAGTTAATTGAAGTTGAACATGTGAACTTTTGGATCCCAGTTCAATGGTTTAAAGCTCATTGACTTGCCAAGAGACTTGAGTGTCCTGAGGTTGGTGGTGAATGAAACTGAGAAGTCCTATGCTCAGACGAAAAAACTGTTTAGTACATCATGGTTTCCTGTGGTTATTTAACTAAGAACATTCTGTAATATAAACAATAAAATTGGGAATATTTGGCAATTTGACAAAATAGCATAATAGAAAAGATTTTCTTGAAACATCTTCATGAAAAAATCTATGAAGGATTCCAGTTATGCAGTAATAAATGGTATCAATAATTTACAGAATCTAGATAAGTAAAAGGAGAATAAAGCTAATTGCTTTATAGTTATGTTTCATATTAAGAAGAAAAGTATCTCAGAATCATTATTATATATTAGATAATAATTATATTGACCAATATTTTTATTGCATGTTAACCATCCCGACCATTGCTGCTATCTTGGCGTGGTGGTCAAGCCTGCCTGTCGTAATGAACCAATCGGACTATCCTGACTGGAACGATCGTTCCTCAAGGTCCTACCATGTCAGGCAGGTCGGTTGAAGAGCGGTAAGACTAAAAGCAGCAAACCCAAGATCTGAGGGCGAAGTCATATTGCCGACTGTAGAGAGGTGTGGCTGCAGTAAGGTCTTTCCTTCAGATAACAAGCATAACAGCGGTGCTGTCGTCCCACAAAGGAAGGGCGGAGTTAGAAAAGGTTGATCTTAAAAATGTACACCTTCACTTATCACACAGATTTCCGTCTCCGGCGGTCAGGTCCCAACAATTGAGGAGCTAACACGAAAACTATTCGCGAAAAGTTCGTGTGTGACAGGCCTCAAGCAGTTGTCCCTTGGACACTGCGGTCAAGCTCTTAGGTCGCTAAGACCACCATTAACCCAATTTACTTTGCAGGTACTTGTAGAAGAACCCTTCCACGGTGTAGGCAACTGAGAAGTGATAACTGCCCTCATACCTCTAATACTGTAATTATAATCAGTCTCCCTCTTCAATTCCCATTATTCCTCCTATGTCGACTTTCAACTCTAAACATATTCTTTTGACTTCCTCAAGTGTCACCATGGCCAACGATCCTAGTACACAAAACACTGTCCCAGGTCTACTGAAACCTTTCTTCGAACTACACATTGAAGCCTTCAAAGTGGGTATCCTGTGTCAAATCGGCCAGCAAGTCTCCTTGACTAAAACCCTAGAATTTCATACCGCTGATGTGTTGTGTCTCCGAAACACACATACAGGATCCTAGTGTGGTCACTCACTTGACCTTATCTCGCCAAAACGGAGAGCCGACAAGATACACCCTCCGGTTACCTGGCGACCCGATGGCCAGTTCTCGTGGACTGGCAGGTGTAGGCACAGCACTAAGTACGAGGGCAGAACAAACATTACTAGGATGGATCCCTGTTAACAGTCGCCTATGTGCTGTTCGGATAAACGGCTGCGTAAGGATAAAGACACACGTCGTTGCCTTTTCGTCGTTTCTACCTACACTCCCACTAACTGCAGCCTAGATCAAGTGAAAAATGAATTCAACAGAAGGCTTTCTGAACTTCTTTTAAAAGCTCAACACTCAGACATAGTGCCTGTAGCAGGGGACTTTAATGTCCAAGTAGGTAGCTTAAACCAAACAGAAAGACATTTAGACGGGTATTTTAGTATTACGGCTCATCGAACAGATAATGGTGACCGTCTGTTGCAACTGTGCCCAGACAAACGTTTATTTTTAGCAAACACTAATTTTGAGCATAAGGAGAGACATCGTCTAACATGGCGATCCCCTGCACAAAGCTAACGATGGAATCAAGTCGAACATATTGCTATCAGTCATTGTTGGAGAGGCGCGATAGAAGACTGTTGCTCGTTTTGGAATACATGTTTAGACTTGGATCATGCTCTAATACGAGCACGCATTTGCTTGCACCTCACTGGACACATAAAAACACATTAAGACCCACTAGAGTTGAAATCAGTGACGAGAAAGTCATAAGTAGATTCGAGGAACAATTAAAGTTACACTTAAGCAATTCTGAAAACGAAGCTAACCCATATGTTGTTTAGGAAGATATACGAACGGCTGTGGATACAGCAGCGACACCTATTAGTGAAAAACCAGTGGGATTCTACAAAGTCTATTGCACAGATGGATTCTCGTAAACTGATCCCATCAGGCTCTGAACACGATAAAGAACGAAAGCAAATCAGATCTAGGTAAACCAAAAGCATAGGGAACGATTGTGAATAGTGGTGGGCAATGAAAGCAAAAGAGGTGGAAAAGGCAGCGGCTTTAGGCAACACCAGACAGCTTTCCAGACTCACAAAAGGATCTGGAATTAAGAAAAGAAGTGTGAGATGACATCAGAAAAAGATGACACTTATCTGCTCTCAGTCCAGACATTTAGAACGATGAGCGGAACACTTTGAAGAGCAATTCAGATGGCCCTCAGCTACTCACTATTCTGAAACAGCCTGAATGGAACATCAAAAAAAGCCTTCTGACACTAATTGGAGTTCGAAGCTGTAGATAATCTGAGACGAGGAAGAGCAGTTGGTCCAGATACCTTTAATGATGGTTGTCCAGATTTAACGATTAGGTTGAATAATATTTTAACTAAAACCCGGGAACTGAATGTAATCCCGTCTGACTGGTCGCAATCATTAATTGTCCCAATATATAAGGAGGGGTCAAAACCATCCAGCGATAACCATATAAGAATTAGTTTGACTAAAAGTATCTAAAATACTAGCATCAATAATTATCGGGCGCCTTACAAAGACACTTGAACCGCAAACACGATTTCAATGTATATAGAACTATATTCAAATACTTTAAGTCTTGGAAAGTAATAAGGATATATTAAAAATGATATGTATTTTCTTATTGTTTCTATTCAAGAGTGGAAATGATCAGTCTCTACTGGATTGCCTAGATATCGCCGCTCAATTACAAGTTCTGGTAAAGTTAGATTGTGGTTGGTTTTGGGATCCGTAAGGAGTGTTTCTCTGTGTGTGTGAATTGTCAGTAAATGTACCTAGGTTTGGACTGACGTTCACACTGAGACTCGAGATCAGTACTTTTCATTTCAAATGCCAACGTATCATCCACTATTAAGCTACTGAGTTCACATAACTGGTCTGTTTGAAATGTATGAATAACAACAAAAATAAAACACGAAGTCTTACACATAAATTCGCATTCACTATCTTCAACTATGTTTTATACAAAACAAAACGGGAACCATACGCCAGCGACAAAAAAAGCATTTTTTGTCCTATAAACCTTGAATATTATTAAAATGTAAGTATGTGAATATAATGCATATTTGTATGACAGGTCAATTGCTCTGAGGATATTACTCAAAAAAGGTCTGAAATGAATATGAGATTGAGAAATATAAATGAGTTTATATATATACCAGATTGATGTATACTGACTGTATAGACTTCGAAACTTGAATCTTAAAGATATGTTGAACATGAATTGTGCAAATATCATAGAATAATGAATAAACTTACTTGACTTGTGGACTGTGATCCCACATTACAACTAACTACAGGATTCATTATAGAATCAGTTGTATTTGTTGAACATGAATTACCAAACTTATTATAAATTACATCTTGAAGTAAAGACGGACTATGGGTACACAATTTAGTCGTTGAACAAGATAAATTTGTAATATTTTTCTTCATTGAATCAGAACTAGTATTATTAAGATTAGCGACAACAGAATGTTCAGAATGATTGAACAAATGATGTTCATCTGATTTCGTTTTTAGTCCGATTGTACTTAAAGTGAAAACTTCTTGATCATTTGCAATACGTATGTCCTTTTCTCTTGATGTAGTAGCATAACTTTGAAAATGTTGAGAGGGAGATAAAGAAATGGATGAATTAAATGATAGTCCAGAAGATATTTCCTTTGCATTAGATGGTGAAGATGATGGAATCAATGCATCCAATTGATTTGGTTCATCTGACGGGAATATAGGATAGCCTAAACAAAATATAATAGCGAACAAATAGTCTATTAGAATTCTACATTTTCTAGAAAAAAAATATTGAAGCAGCTAGAACTTAAGAATCCGATTGAAATCACAAATAAGAGCGGGGACAATATCGAATATTTCTTTAGATTCAACAGTTTTCTTATTTATGTGAGTCTGAAATGAAATCTATAGTTAAACATCAATTACAGTCTATGCATCTATGTGATCATGTCCATACTTATGCCTCTTACCCCCAATGGAGCATAGGTCGTCGACCAGCATTCTCCAACACACTCTGTCCTCGGCCTTCTTTTCTAATTCCATTCAATTGTTGTTCATTCTTCTCATGTCTGTCTCCATTTCTCGACGTAATGTGTTCTTTGGTCTTCCTCTCCTCCTTTGGCCTTGAAGGTTCCTTGTGAGGGCTTGCCTTGTGACACAGTTGAGTGCTTTCTTCAATGTGTGTCCTATCCACTTCCGTCACTTTTTCTTGATTCCTTCCTCTGGTGGTATCTGGTTTGTTCTCCCCACAGTAGGTTGTTGCTGATAGTGTCTGATCAACGGATCGGAAGTATTTTACGTAGACAGCTGTTAATAAGCACTTGTATCTTCTGGATGATGGCTTTTGTAGTTCGCCAAGTTTCCTCCCCATACAGTAGAAGTCTTGACATTTGTATTGAAAACTCTGACTTTGGTGTTGGTTGACAGTTGTTTTGAGTTCCAGATGTTCTTCAGTTGTAAATATGCTGTTATTGCTTTGCCGATCCGCGCCTCCACATCTGCATCAGATCCATCATGTTCATCAATGATGCTGCCCAGATATGTAAAGGTTTTTACATCTTCCAAAGCTTCTCCGTCAAGTGTGATTCGATTGGTGCATGCTGTGTTGTATCGAAGAATCTTGCTGTCCATTGTATCCCATGCTTCTCCTCAATGAAGTTGATGTAGAGTGATGAATTTCATTCAATTGATTGTTCTACAATTATCCGTAGTGTTGCAGTTTGGTCGGCATACGATCGATTCCTACGGAATCCAGTCTGTTGGTCTCAAAGTTGGGCGTCTTTGGAATCCTTCATTCTGTTTAACAATGCCCTGTTGAAGACTTTTCCTGATATTGAGAAAAGAATGATGCCTCCGTAATTCTCACACTTACTGAAATCGCCTTTCTGTTGCATCTTGATCAGGTGTTCATTTTCCCAGTCTGCTGGCACTTTTTCTTCATTCCAAATCTTGCTGAAGAGAATGTTAAATATCTTTGCAGTTACTCCCACGTCTTCTTTCAGTGCTTCTGCTGGAATATTGTCTGGTCCTGCTGCTTTGCCGCTCTTAATTTGTCTGATAGCCATGCTGATCTCTTCAATTGTTGGTGGGCCAACATCGATTGGGAGGTCCGTGGATACTGCTTCGATGTTGGGTGGGTTCAGTGGGGCTGTGATCAAGTCAATGGTGTAAGGAAAAAACTACCTAAACTTTTTTTCCTGAATATCGAAGCACAGAAATGAGCTTTCGGAGAATAGAAAAACTAGTGATTTTATTATCAAGGTTAAAGTTGATAACTTTAAATGTAGATGTTAACACTTTAAACCTACAAACAGACCCCTATACCATTGTTATGTTTGTAAATAACGGCTTACACAAGATTGATGTCATAAACTATGCTTCGTATAACATATCTAGACACAACTGATTGATTTGAAACAGATTAGTACATTTTCTTATATTTGAGATGAATGGTATTTGTGTATACTAATTAGTGTATAGTATTTCGAACCTACAGGAAAGAGAAAGTCATAGTAATCATGGTCAGACGACCATGTGTTTACTACAGGTATTATTTATACTTAACATACACAAAGGTGTGGTTAGAAAACAAAGAATGTGAAAATGTAGTATTGAAGTTTACCATTTCACCACATATCGCTAGTGAGTGATTTTAAAATGGAAGTTGACATAGAGGTGGTTAAATTATTAGACTCTGGCAATCACTGATTTAATATACGGTTCATGTCGCTTTATACTAGTTACTTTGATTGGCTTAGCTTGATGAATAATAAAAAATCGATTAGACAGGATGAAACACAACTAACAAGGCAGAAAAAAATCATTGTACAGACTCTTGCCTGTCTCTTTTGTAAGAAGAAAAAAGAGGAAATAAATAGTAGTTAATTTTTTTTCAATCAAGTCATCCATTAGGCATTTGGGTATGTATGAACTATTGAAACTACCTGGTTGCCTAAACCACTAGGCCACTGCTCTATTCTAGTAGGATATGGGAAAGGAACATATGTAGTGTTATGCAATAACTTCTAATACTTCTGTTGTGAACTAGTAAAAACACAAATTTTAGAACAGATTTTTCTAGAAATATAGTAAAAACGGTAAATTTTGTATGAAAGCAGCTGACTAACCTTGAACATAAGATGATGCTGGAACCGAGATGTATTGTGATTCATATGAATCGGATACAAAATTAGTAGTTCCATACTCGCATTTCATTTGATTACTGTTATTATCAGGCTTTGTCACGAGGTTTTGTTGACCAGTTAGTGTTGTTTTTAATAATTGAGATGTATATATTGATGAATCAGACGTAGAATCATTATATCCATGTAAATGTTCATAGTTAATTAGTTCGGATTGAGGTTGCTTGACAACATTGAGACGATTGGATGTCTCTTTTTCAATAGTCAATGAACTTTCCGATAAATCATTGCAATGATAGAAACTGTTGAAAAGATAAATAAATAAATAAACATCAAAAAGAAGGAAATTGATAATATGAAATATAAGAGAGGGAAGTAATTTGTTCACTATGATACCAAAGTGATAATTTACGAATAAGTAAATAGTTGAAAACAAATAAAATTTGAACGTATGTTCAGTGGTTAAGTTATGACTGAGCTGTTAAAATATATTTCACATTCACTGTTGTCGTAATATACTCAAGGATAATGTAACTTTGCACCACAGATCATATATAAAATGAATTCAATCTAAATTTTATTGTACACTTTAACCTGAATTTTGTTCTGATATGTTTACTCAGTTTGGGCTGAATATGTACGCGGTTAGGGTATATACTAATATATGACGTTCTATTCATTATCTTACTAGAAAGTATTATCATTTCGTTGCATTTATGAACTCTTTATGACAATGTATATTTGTGTGGACTAATATAATCAGTTATGAATTGAACAATACTGTTAAACTGTGTGAGAAGAAGAATACTATAGTACAATTACTACTGTGGTAGGTACAAAGCACTGATAGAAGGGATGTTTATTTAGTGAAACTATTCCTTATATCCTCAAAATTACAGAATGTTTATGCAATTTGTACACCTAGTCTTCAGTTATCCATATGGATTTTGTTGTATGTTTTATAATTCAAACTGATTCTAAACTGACTTCTTTCATAATCTCCAAATTATTCTGCATACGCTGTTCTTTTAAGCCTCCTGAAAGTCTTTTCTTTAGATTTCGATTGTAGTAACTTCCACGTGATGTCCCGCTACATAATATTTATAAAGTTATCTTATGAGTTGGATTCACCACATTATTACTACCATTAGTTCACATATTTACTATAAAGCCTAAAGTAAACATGAAATAGTTTTTAATGAAAATTATGTAAATTTTAATTTATTACACATTGATCAAGACATAATCTAAAGAATTCAGACCACATAGTGTTTATGCCAACTAATTTCAATTATATTACATTAACAATAACATAACAAAAAGTTGACTGATTTTTATAATAAGTAGTTAGACAAAATTCTATTCACATATTGTATCGTTAAATTAGGTTACATAAATGAAATAGAATAGAAGAATCAATATTATAAACTAGAAATTCTGAATCATAAAATCGAATTAATAAATTAAAGTATTTATATAATTTAATGTATAAAGAAGAATTTGTCTCATTATTGTTAAAAAAAATTTTTCTGTTTTTTTTTTAAAGGAACCGGATATCAACAAGAGAATATTTTTATATTGACCAATGAATAATAATAACACTTAAATATGAATTTTAGAGAGCTGAACAAGAATTAATTGAGTAAATCTCTCATGGATATAATAATCTCATTGTTATTTATCACCAAGAAGCAAACAAACACACACACACACACAAATTAATAAATAATTTGAATTAAAATATATTCGAACTTTTCTATTACATAGTAACAAAAACTGGAAATCATATAAATAACATGAATCTATTATAATTAATTAATTTAATTGAAGAAATTCTTTCAACTTCATTCATATTTGTAGAAGAAGAAATATTTTATTCTTCTTGAAAAGAATACAATATACAATGAAAAGAATGAATGTATTCCACGTGAAAAATAGTCTATGATTGTGACTATAACGAATAAAACAAACAAATAAATAAACTAATGGTCTTATCCGAAAAAATAAAGTCACACGTTATCATTTAATAAAAAATAATAATAATTACATATGAATAACTAAATGTAAACTAATAAGAAATAACATTGACTTTTATTTTCCTCTGGTTTCTATGTCACTTGCTCTTTCTCTCTCTCTCTCTTGTCTAGAATAGGGTGTGTTCTATGTTTTCTTTAAAATACCATATTTTAATTAGTTATCAAAGTGAGTAGAAATAAAGAGAAAAAAAATGTAGAAAATCATCAAACATGTCACCTGTTTAATTTATATTAGATAGAATTATAATGAATTAATGAAAAGTATATACAAGTAAAGGTTGAAGTATTATGAAAAAAAAATAGGAAAAGAAAATGAATTGTATGTGAAAAATGTCACGCTATAAATGATAAATATATGGTGAATAATATTTTTTTTAATATTTCTGTTTAAGATGTGGAAAAATAAAATAAAACCTAAGTGAAATAAACAACATCGTGGATGCACACTGCTGAAGAGTCCCACAATAGGACGAAACAGCCGTCCAGTGCTTCCAGGTTTTCCATGGTGATCTAGCTTCAATCGACTCATGATTTCAACTGTTGAAATTACTACAATCTCTACAAAACCCCTTCTGATGTTTAAAGTATTTGAACATTTCGTGAAATTTTTTATTCAATATATATTAGAATATTAAATGTTGAAGAATTTCTGGTTAAGTAATTTACTATTTTTTTAATTAAGGAACAAATACAGTTGTATATCGATGACGAAATTAAACAAAAATAGCTTAATTAGTCATACTTGCTTTGATGGTGATATTATATGAATTCTCGAGTTGAGATTAAAAGATTAAGATCTCTGTAACATTGAAGAATAAGAGATGAACAATCTCAAATACCGGAACAAGCGATACAGGCTACCAAAGATTCATGTTAGAAAAAAAACAACTAAGATTGGTGTATTAAAAAAAAACTACATTAAGCGGTGTATGAAGCATTTAGACCCCCAGAATGATTTGAAATCGAAGATAGGGCCACTATGCAGATTACTTTTTTGGCAACAAAAACATTATTATTATTATTATTATTATTATTAATGGCTTTATTCAATATTATATTTTGGTACAATATAGAATTCTCAGCACAGGGTATTTCAACAAGTTACTTACTGAACAACGAACAAAAAAGGCAGTAGCGAATACATAAAGAAATATATAAAATAAAAATTTAAAAAAAACCCAAAAGAAACTACAAACTTTTAAAATTAAAGACATGTTAAGAATGTAAGTTATTGACTAAGTTAATTCTAACAACCTGTTCGTCACAGAGTATATTTGCTAGGTAAGGTATTATAGAACTTTTATACTTTTCCTTGCGTGCAAGGATTTTAATGTAATTACGTCTCGTTCTACCAGAAGATATACAAGGAGAAAGATAAGAGTGAAGGGGATGGCTAGTATCTGATAAAATAACACCTGCCAGGAGTTTGCATGATTTTAAATGTCTGTCCACAACATACTTATAAACAAGTTATTAACAGGAAATCAGAATGACTAAGTGTCAGAAATGATTAGAGGACGTCAGTAAATCAGTCACAACGTAGAACCTACACGTATGTATATCGGTTCAAGTTTCCATATCCTAATAGCACAGATGTCAGTCTGTAGGTCTAATTATTGGGTATCGCATGATGTGGCAAGTTAACCTAATGAATTATTAGTGTATTTAAGATTCTCATTAGGACATCCCAAAGCATAAATTGACCGAAATATTTCGTCTTAATTATGTTACAACTCTCGGGTTTCTGCGTCTACATGAATGGGACGTTAATTTACCTTAGACGAATATCTACACTAGATTCCCTCCCAATGTCTATTCCACAGGACTTCAACACAACTCAGATTAAGAACACGTGATTAGCCTGACCAGAACGTAATTATATTTCCACACCAAAAACCGACACACAATAATAATGACTATATATATATATATATATATATATATATATATATATATATATATATATATTACTTTGAGAAAAATTCTACCGACAATTTCACCTACACAAACAGATTAAAGGGATATCAACAAATATCTTTAAAAAAATAATATGTACCATTTGATCACATGGTGATAGATATTCATTCATTCCACAGATGGTTTACACAAAGTAAACACATCATTACTGTACACATATTGTAGCATCAATCTACGTAATTGTACCAGTAAATAAATTTAATTCTTAACGTTTAGCGTTTAACAACATGTTATAAAACCATGTAAGACCCAATGAAATTCTATTGACTATAAGATCTATAGAAACTATGAAGTGTATAACATTTCTAATGAAAGTGGACATAAACTAGAGGAAATAGCTACTAATCTATTATTTATTTACTTATTTATTTGAACACATAAATATGGGTACAAGAGGGCATCAGATACATATGAGCCACACAAATCTCTTTTGATTTATGTGAGGGCTTTGATACTGTCCGGGTGCCCAAACCGAAGCTGATACAACAGATTCACTACGAGAGAAGCGGTTTTTTATGACTGAATGGAATTATTCCCAATATTTTCCACGTATTTTATAATTAACGTCTTTCATATTTCCCGATAAACAGAATTTCACATTAATAACCAAGAGATAGTGGATTCACGATAACAACATTAAAATATCATCGTAAAGATCAACTTTCACTTAGTTAATTGTTAAACTTTGAATCATAAATAGATTTCTGATCTAAAATTAAACATTTGATACAATAAATTCATGTAAACATATGTAAACCATCATATGGTTAGTAATGAATAATAACTTACTGCGATAATTGATGACAACAGATCAGTATTTCTGAAGATGTACATTTATCAAAAGAATTCAATTCATCAAAATTTCCTAATTGAGATGATGAAAAATTTTTGTCCATTTTTGTCATACAATTTTCATTAAAATTCAAATAATAATCTGATATTTCAGTGATTGGATATTGATAATTATTTGGTCGATTATTTGTAAATATTGACGGTGAGTTTGACAAACGATAATATGATTGTTTACAATAAAAAATTAACATACGAGCCCAACAATATTTCCCACATTTTAATCGTAATCGATAAAATGAAGTGACTACCGGTTGATTTTCATTGACTAAAATTATTTCAATTTTTTTTGGAAAAAAGAGAAACAATGAAAATAAATGATTAAAAAAAAGAAACATCTATAGCGAAGAAATGACAAATCATACAAGACAACGGAGTAACTGGTTGTTGAACATTAAGTAAACAAAATAACTACACATTGTTTTGAACTCTTTTGTTGATTAAACCATTTTCATTGGAATTTCGTCGTTATTTTATTCTCCTTTATAAGTGAGGTTATAACAGGCTATTCAGTTGGTTCAGTAATTCCCAAGGTAGAAAACAAAACAAATATTTGTACTGGTATACTGCTTAAAGAATATCTTTGAAGACACATCAGCATAATATAGCAAGGATGTGAATAAAATTAATAGACTGAATAAAATATCGTAGATATATATCTTATGTAAAAGAAAATTCTACAACATTGATAGTAACAAATGTCCATAGATCTAGAAGTCAGTGGTTATGTAATGAGTAAATGTTGATAATAAGCAAGAATAAAATGAGTAAATCTCAGTTAATTAAATCAATTAAACGGAATACACCCATTAAGATATTAATATATCTGTCATGTATTTCAGTACGTGTGCTTGATTTAGTTTCATTGGGGGGTGGGCTGATTCGAGGTAGGATCATAATTGAACAAAAATAGATAGGATTTTCATTAAAAACAGCAATATGGATGGGAAAAAGATACCGTATTTTATGTTGAAATAAACTATTCTGATGTTAAAATCATTTTGAAATGAAAGAGTTGAACGAATGCGTTTAGTAAAATATAATAAATTCTACATGTTTTGTGAGCAGATAACTGAGTTGCCAAAAATTTTAAATGAAAGATCACAAATTTAATTACGAATTTCGAATATGGTAAGCTCAAAAACTGGTTGTGTAAGAGGTGTGTCGTGATCCCTTATTTTTCCGTAAAATAAAACCCTTAAGAATCTGGAAGTAAGCTACAAACATGTTTCTGAATCAGAATCAAGTGGAAACTTGCCAGAAACTTATAGAAGAATAATGGAATATGTGTCACATCCTTAGTGGATAATCACCTATGTGGCCATTAAATTGTGATTCCAGCAGCTTCCAGAATGTCAGGGTTACTTATAAACATATAAATACCCTTACTTCCTGTACATAAACTAGACTTGGAAATAAAGCTTCATTTTACAAATCCCGCTTTCACATTGCTGTTCAGAATCCAAGCATAGAAAAATCAAGAGGAACTAATAAACAGTTAGGAAGCCATTATCTAGCACTTTAGTACCACACTGGTCATGTTGTCAAAAAAAACAAACTTTGATTAATTTGAAGATTATCCAGTCAACCAGCAATACATTATATTTAACCATTTACTAGACCAGACAGATACTTTCAATTTTCTGTTTGTATATCATAGAGTATTCTACTATGAATATGAATAGTTCCAGAAAAATCCGGAAATACAATAAGCTGTATACATCATTATAATAATCCAAGATTCTCGAGCATAGGTCGGTATTGAAAACAAGTATACCAATAGGAATTAAAATTAAACCTGGATATATATACATATACAATAGGCAATAAACAATTGTCGAGACAATAGATGCAATTTTTTATGTGAATAAAATGGAAACGATTATGATGTCATTACTTAAAAGTACAACGACAAAAACAATAACGAGAATCTGAAACAAGTTAGTAAACTATGACGTCTACACCAGAAATTTCATTCTGCCATTCACTATTGTATCATTCATTTATAAACAAAATAATCAGGGTAATAATAATAATTGTTATTTGATTTAACCGGGAAATTAATTTGCACACACTAAACAATTTTAAATTATATTAGTACAGAGATGAGATGATCTTGTTTGTTTAGATTGAGATAATAATAGATAACAGTTAGCTATTTATCTAGTTTCAGTGGGAAGGAAATCACAGATTTATAATAGACGATAAAGGATTTAGTAAGTAATCAAATAACATTGAATACTTCTCTTCTGCTTGAAAACAGAATTATTCAGTAGCGAATTAAATCCAGCAATACCTGACGACTACATAATCATCATTGTTATCTAACCAGTTTAGTTTACAATTCATTAGTTCATTTTGAGGTTGAATTAGAAAACTAAGACAGTGATTACTGATCACCATTATGGGCTGAAAACGTGACTAAGTATAAAGCATAGTTTTCTTTATTAAACATTTAATGATAACTTCATGTTACACTTAGTTATGTTGTGAGTAAACAATTGTGTTCTAATCTAATTGAAATAACTGTTATAAGGAAAATCACTCTGATCTAGCATAAATATTGCATGTTTATGTTTATTCATATAAATAAACAGGTACTGAATACACTAAAATATTCTCTAATGTAACGATCTGTTACAGTAGAGTAACTAGAATATTTTCGATTCAATGGTACATTCTAGATTGAAGAATAATGTAACTTTCATTGATCAAAGCTGATCAACTAACTTTCAAATAAATACACAATTTCATTCTAACAACAGTCAATCAAGTCGTTTTACTAAGGGCAAGAAATAAATGTTTACTGTCTGATTAGAAATGTGATTATTCATTCATATACATTGAAGGTGTGTAATTCAGCGTAAATTAATGTTCTTCTTCAATATTAACTTATTGTAAAAGAGACCGAAAAAACTAACTGGTATTTCTGGGCTTTTAAATGTTATCTCACGATCATAACCTATTCATGAATAAAATTATTTCAATAAATATTGGACATCACAAGAAACGCATAATGAGAATTAATATTTGTAGGATTGTTTTCTCACTAAATATTGTATACTGATGAATTATTTTGAATCGAATGAACAAACCTCTTGATAAATCCCGTTACTACTGTTTAAAACCTATGAAGTTGATAGTATTTAGGAATTGAACGAATCAATCCGGAGAACGTTTTTTTATGGCACTTACTGATTCCTTTATTTATCCTACTTTAAAATCACTTCCAATCTACTTCACTAACTTTAACGTACATAAAGTAACCTCATCATATCGTTTTTAAAAAAAACTTGGAATGGATATTTTATTGAAACATTGTTCAAAATTTGAACAAACAGCTTGACAGAAATTTTCATATAAAAGACATCAAAACGTAAGAATTATATTTAAAACAGTCAGCTCTTCCCCTGAAGAAGCTCGAACAAGTTTGACGGGCGAAACATTAAAATTATTTAAATTTCAATCGCTGAGATTATTTTTAACGTTCATTAACATCAGCTATATTGATTGAATCCTTCTACTGAGTATAATAATCCACTGAACTATAACTGTCAAGAAGTTGATGCTTTAGCAAATATTCTTATAAAAATCTACATGACAGTAACTTTTGATTATCAAATTTTTATGACGCTTTAACAATTTTTTTTATCAAAACGATATATTTCATAAAATTTCAACAAATAAAATACATATCTAATGAGAAATATTAATATCATTTATAATTTGCTCAATATGTGCGAGTATAAAAAACCATCATAAATTCTTTAAGTAAAACAAAAGAAACGGTAAGATTTCGTGGTTTAATAACTTTTAAAGATGATTATGTAATAGAAAATGTGATATTAATTTGGTTGACACACACTAAACTATATATATATATATATATATATATATATATATATATATATATATATATAGAGAGAGAGAGAGAGAGAGAGAGAGAGAGAAGAAAGGAAAATGTTGACAGTATTTCTATCATGTGGAATTCTTTAAAAGCTTACGAAGCAATTCTAAATGACAATGGATCACGTTTTATGGCCCTGGTTAGACAGTTATTGATATTGTTAACCATTTTTGCATATTTTCTAAAAATTTCTTGAATCTCAAGTACATTCCTGTTCTCCCTCATATATATATATATATATATATATATATATATATATATATATATATATATATATATATATATATATATATAAAGAATGACTAAGAGAATATTACAAATTTTCATTCCTCCCATGCTTATTTTTAAGACAGCACTATTTATAATATGAACTGTATCTTTTCTTTTTAACAGAAATTTATTATGAAGTAAACTATATTGGCAACTACATATGGCAAAATAATCAAAATATTATTTAGTTAGATGAAAGGAAAGAAATGTTATACAGATTCATTTCAGACAAACAATTTGGCATTAAAAACAAAATTGTTTTTCATCTGACACTAGTGTAACACACATTAGTTGTTTACAGGAATTCTCATTAAGCCTAACAAGAAAAATATCCACTGTAGTAAATTAATGTGAGATATTCATTCATAGTGACATACATTATTAAAAAATAGAACAGTTGTTATTGTATAACTTGAATTATATGTCATACTGATATTATCAATAGAGGCAATGTCAAAATACTGCTGATCACTATAAATAAACAATGTATTTTCTCAATATAAATGTGTATAAAAACAGCGATTCCAATGAGACATTGATGGAAAAACTAGGACTATTGTCAGTGAAAATATTTTACTTTTCGACCACATTTACTGAAGCTCTACAATCGCATGTATATTTATTTACAATATATTATATTGCGAAATAGGGTGTGACTGCTTCACACAATTTTTTTGGAAACAACCTTTTACTATTCAATATTTCCGAAAGCTTTGTGACAATCATTTCCCCATATAATATATATATATATATATATATATATATATATATGATTGTAGGATTTCAGTAAATATTGTCGAAAAGAAAAATCTCTTCACTGATAATAGGCTTTGTTTTCTGATCAATGTCGCAATGAAATTATTGTGTTGTTATGCCTATATATGTTCAGTGAAAATGTTATGCAACCTAACTGACAATAAGAAGAAAAATTACACAACCTAGATTACAGAGATTAAACATTAGAAAATCCTAATCAATTAAAATTTATGATTATTAAGATAACGACAAAGTCACGAACCAAATTAATGTCTACAATATATTAATTAATAACTTTCAATTAAAGGTCAAAAGTTCAGTCTTCAAAATGTCACAGTATGAATCGAATAGAAATTTGAATAAAAAAATCTGAACATGATTTGAAATAATAATCTTTAACAATTAAATCACTTCATAATGTTAAAGAATTATTGTACACCATTTTCAAGTACATAAATTTATTTAGAAAACTTATGAAATAGCTATAGTTATAATCATATTGAATAAACAAAATTACCAATGTACAACATGTTTAATTATGCAAAAGAACACGAGATAAAAGAAAACAGAATCTAATATGGAATAAAGCTCAAATTATATTATTCATAGTTGTTTTAAATGGTAAACAGTATGTTAAAGCAATACTTATGTCGAACAGATGCTAATCATCCAATACTACAGAGTAATTAAAGTTTTTAAGTATCAAGTGAAAAAAGGGGTTGCATCTAAATGATGCTAAGTAATCAGAAATCATGAAGCGCTTACTTTGTGTAATAAGTATTAGAAGTAACTAGTAATAATTTAAAGAATAAAAGCTAAAGATGATCGTCCACTTAATAAAGAAGAGAGATAAGGTAAAAACTACCAATATTTGTAAGATATCTGTGATTAAATACCAGTAACTTGCGAATATCCTCTACCCTTGATGGTCAGGATTCGCAGCCATAAGGTGAAGCAAAACGAACTGCTGAGCAGTATATTTGTCTTTTAATTGATAGACGGGTAACTCTCCTACGCCATAGGTAATGGAAGTTGACAAAAGCGAAATGAGTTTTTTGAATCCGTGCTGAGATTTCATCAGACACCAACCCACTATGGCTGATCTGACTTCCAATATAAGTGAAGTTGTCGACTCATTCGACTAATTTACTCCCTATCTTTAGTCCAGGTGTTGATGCAGGCCAGTCCTGAAGCAACAATTTACATTTTGAGGGGGATAAAAGCATCCCAAACATCCAGGCATTGTTGCTTAGTGCTACCAAAAGGTTGAATTTTATCAGTATCTTCACTAAACAGGACTATGTCGTTTGCATATTCTAAGTCAATAAGTGAACTTCCTAGTAGGAGACTGATTACCTAAAATTCAGATGACGCGAACGAGTTAACCTAGATTGGGGATTCTTTACTGAGAATGCATTTTGTGGTTTATCAATAGGTAAGACTATACTATTGAAAAAAGGAATTTTAAGCTGGCACGGATAATTGGAATTTTCAATGAATAAAATTCAATGTTGGATAGCACTGGTTATTTGATATATTGTACGTTTATAATATATAAATGGCGGATAGAATGGGTGGATGATAATACTGTTAATGAATAATTTCATCAATAGATCCAACTTATTCAATTACATGCAGAGAAAGTTTTAAATAAACTAAGTAATTTGATGGTCAACAATTATACTGAGTAGAGTAATCGTAAGCTTAGAGAGCCTTAAGAACTAGTGTGTGTTGCAATCTCGTAATTCACGTGTGTACAATCACATGAGTAATAAATCAACACTATAAAGGACTTGTGACCACTCATCAATTATGTTCTGATTGACGGTTTAATAATGAGAGAATTTACCGGCGCGAAAATAATAAAAACAGATAAGAAGCGTTAATTAATAATGACTTATGGGACATGACAATTTGTCTCGGTATGATTATCAATTAGCAAGGCCATTAAATCTTTTTGTAAATCATAAAAATTTGGAGAATCTACATTCTGCTATTTATATTGTGATAATGATTCAAATGAAGATGTGATTGAACAATCTACACAGACAATCAGTCAATCTAATCATCAATCATTCACCCCAAAAGGTCGTATTCGATGCGCCAAATATATAACACTAGAACCTACTATAGTAGTCAACATAAATGAGCCTAATATTCAAAAAAAAATCAGAAACACAGTGGAATGGATGTGTAATATCACTACCTTTTATTACATACTAATGTGATCTATACAACGTTGTTAAAAAGTATTGCCTAGGACGAAATGTTATGTAAGTTTATATACTAAATCCTGTTTAAGTATTAAAAAGTGAATAGGATGAATGAATGAATTACAAGTTCGATCGTAATGATAACCATAATTTCACTACGTTGAAATTTACATTAATTTATAGTCAAGTTACATTACACGTTTAAGTTAGGTTAAATAGAGAATGTAGGATTGAAAAACTCACTTTATTGTAAAAAGTCGACATATATTCAAAATACCATTTCCCATTTCATAAAGATCAAGAAAAATAAACAATGCACAACGAATATCATCATTTTAAGTTGGCATACAAACATTTACATCGTTATGATAACATAGATAACATTGCAAATATTATTATCGACTTGATTATTAAACCAGTCAACTAACCTATATTTATAGCTTCAGATATATGCACCAAATCATCGATATGTATCAGATCGAATAAACATTTATTTAAAAGGTCGACTTTTGTATAACCCGACTGGGTTAAGAAACTAAACATGAAGAGAAAAATTGAGAAAAATAATTTACAACATTAGTAATTAAAAATTCGAGAAAAAATGCTTGTGAGAAAAGCAACATCATATGTGTATAACTTTGAAACTAGAATGAAACAGTTCGCTAAACCACACCTATTTCTAATGGTCGCTACGAAATTACAGATATTCTGTAATAAAAAATTCATACAAAATAAACTATTTTTACAAAACTATCTCATTCAGTGATTGTGATGGATTTCTTGATGTTTTATGGTGGGAGGACATGGATTATGGATATGAGACAATAAACTCACCTATAACACTGAATGAAAATAGAGTTAAACTGAATTCTAAATACGGAAGATGTACACTATCGCATAATTACCAGTTCGACTGAATGGTAATCTGTACTCGACATGAAAACACAAACTCGTAAATTTTATTTGACGCAAGTCTATAGAATATCTGGTTTATTAAAATGTCCTTAACTAGAATAAGGAAACAACTTTTTTGGTGATCTCTGATTCTGAATAGTTATTCAGCCCTACATACCTGAATGATATTATTTATTGATACAAATCACACCTTCAAATTATAAAAAATTTAAGTTATGACATTTTAATAGTGAATAAAAGTAGAGAAACTTAGTATAAAGAATTAATCTAAGGTAAAAAAAGGGATGTAGTATACCAAATCAATAAACAATATGAACCTAGTCTCTGTTTATGAGTTGACTGATTTAACTTATGAAAATAGTTACTTAACACTTAACTGCTCTAGATGTATACTATTTCAGTCAAGCCTCCACAGAAGGTAAATCCAGTCGGTTCTCTAGGTGAGGTCAAGTGAATAACCATACTTGGATCCTGTATGCGTGTTTCAGAGATGTTTGTGATGTGTTAGCTGAGTTCTTCAAAAGGACTTACCAATGATCTCAAGCTTTGGTCAGCCATCTTCATTAGCCTTCTTCCAATCTACTTATATACCAGCACATATCCACTAATCGAGGTAAGTAGTAGCTAGACATATGCAACACATGCGAAAACCGCCCTCAATCAATGAAGACCTACAACCTCATCTGCTGATTTTTCATATTAACTTAGTATTCTGTATCTAGCCTTAGCATTGTTCACTTGATAAACTCAAGAAATCCTAGCAATACTTTGAAAAAACTTGGGTATCAAAAACCTATACAAACAAACAATAACCTAATTGACGAACTAATTCACTTGTTCAAAATAAAAATCCCTATCATTGACATATTCCGCTTGTAACAAAGTAGAACCTTTGTTACATGAATCTCAGTCAATAATGTCTTTATTTGACTTGTATTTCAATTGTGAACAACAATCATCTTCAGTAATAAAATTTAGCACTGAAATAAGTACATTCAAATTTTCAGTACAAATATATTATATAGGCGAGGCTATAATTTGTGGACGACATTTGAGCGACGCTGAAGTGACCTTGGGAATGTCCACCTACATACTAGGGCTAAATGAGTATTATAAACCACTGTGAGGAATTAGAATTATTATTTACAGTTGATGGTTAGGGCTAGGAATTAGATTTGGGTTTTTCATCCCGAACTGACTGATTGATTCGTCCATAAATTATAGTCTCATCATTATATATAATTTATTGGATAAAAGGATTTAAAACTAAACCAAACTAAAACAAAATATACTTACTCATTAGCAATATCTATAAATTGTAGATTTTTAGTTGAATGACATGTTTTACATGAATTTGATAAGCCTGTGCAACATGAATTATTATTTTTATTGATAAACTTTACCAATGTATTACTTTTCTGTACAGTATTACTTCTATTTTCATCAATTATTGAAAATGATGAATTCCTAGTGAAATCATAATCGTTATTCTTGTTTTTATTATAATTAATATTATTGCCATTCATAGTATTGTTATTATTACGATCTGAATTATTATGGATATTACTACAATTAATAATATGGTTATCATCAGTAAAACATGATTCATGATATTCTTTATTGACATAATTATGCATATTATTGTTAATATTTGATAAATGAATAGGTTGTAATAAATATATACGAAGATTTACATCATTTGCTCGATTTGGTTTAAATGAAGAATCAGCTTCACTGCCGCAACCATTATTACTAGAATTATTATTTGAATCATTGTTATTGTGTAACAATATGTCATTTGTATTACAATATCCAATATCAGTTCTATTGTTGATGTTATGATTCGGATTAAAAGAAAAGTTATTGGTTTGCTGGCAATTTATATGATTATTTGAAAATGGTGATGGGGATGATGATGATGATGACGACGACGATGAACCACAGCCGATATCTAGAGTGAAATCTCCATGTTTTGAAAATTTATTTCTTATACATAAATTTGAACTATTCCAACATAATACGTACTTTGAAAAACAGAATTCGAATAGAATAAAAACAAATAAACGAAATATAAGATAATTTGTTGGTAATAAATTTATCAAGTGATAAAATCATAGAGATAAGTTCAACGATATTCATTAAATAACCAGATAATAATAAACAAAATACACCTGAGACGTTTACGTCAGATTCTACAATGTTTACACCTATCCAGCTGTTGTGTTGATTAATTCAGCTTGGTATATGACGGATAAAAATTTAACTCCACATGTTTAGGAAACTGAAAAGGACTAGAAAATATAACACTGCTGATCAGAATAACAGGTACTAATTTAAAATGTTAAATAACTTTTATTTTTCGTGCTTATGTGTAAACTAAGGGAGATAAGAATAAAACTTGGGTGACCAGAAGTAACGTAATGCGATGTAAATTAGTAACGAAATACAGATTTGTATACTCGCTTTTAAATCAAACTTTTTTTGTAAAGTGAATAGAGAATACTATTCTCCTGTTAAGACACAAGTATATAAAGAAGGAACGATGATTACACTCCGTTTAGACAGGCGACAGTTTATTTGCACAGGAATGAGACCAGGATGTATTTGCGCTTAATACTGAATTTTCGCGACGTTCCAGAGATTTCCAGACACTGACGATTTTCATCTGACATAGGTATAGATAATCATGATCTGTAGTGGTAAGTAATAAACCAGGAATCTGACAACAAAATTAATAAATGATTCAGACATATAAACAACATTGACTACATTCCATTCGTCATGGATAAAAGTTTAGTCTTACAGTCTGGGAAAATTAGCATGTAAAATGTTTGCCAATTTACATAAATGAACAAACTATTTGATGTATGAAATCTTATCGCTTGAAGTTAGGATTTTAATTAACAACGTTAAATATTGAGTTCATGATACACTTAATATGTAAGTAAAATGATTTCTAACTACGTTGAACCAGTAAGATGTTGTACAGTGTTAAACGCAACCCATTCACAAAGTCGAACTACTAACGTTGATCATTAACCGAATAGATAATACTTTCACTATTTAAATTGTGTATGTTATTATTCTATAGACAAAAATTCCAGTATTTTGTATACAGAAACGATTTGACGTAGTATTTACGCCTATGTGTTCTATTATTAATAAAAACATTTACCCCTATCTGGTCAAGATCAAAACCGGTAAACAATAAATAATTCATTCAAACACATACATACACACAGAATGGATTTTTAAACAGCACAGTCTACCGAAAACAACTGGAAAATATCAAGGAACATAAAAATTATATGTAATCAACAATATAGAGATTTTGAGTCTATAAAAAGAGAAGGAGAGAGAGAGAGGAATTGAGCGCGCGAAAACTATAGACAAAATAACGAAATTTTAGAGACAAAATAAACAGTAAATAAAAAACACATGATGATAACAGAAAAAACAAGAACATATGGTGCTGTCGTCATTCATTACATCTATTTGCCATGATAATGAATTCTAAAAAAAGAAATTGTTTAATCCAAATACAAAACAATGTGGCCTTTGATAGATAATCACTATTTGTCATTATTTGTTTTTAAAACATTAACTGTAGTTAAATGCAGAAAAAGCTAACAAATACAATAGAGTTATGTGAATACAGAGAGGGAGAAGATGGTTATGTTGAAAAAATCTTAGTTGGCAAAAAATATATTTCAATAATAATGAACATTAAATTAAATATTGTGACATTCTATTGATAAACAAATTGGAATAAAGTAACTTTGAAATAAAACGATAATAATAGAGCTGTTAGAATCGATATTTGTTGAAAAATGCTTCTTCTTTTAAAAAATGAGAACATAATCTCTTCATCATGTTAATAGAATTAATTTACTGATTGAGTAAATTGAAAATACGTACATATGAAACCTTTATGGGTTGTTTTATTAATTATTTCAATTGACTAATATAAGACGTAATAAACATGAGGATGGAGCGAATAGATAAGTAATGCTTAATCCCAAAAACCAACTTTCGTTTCCTTAATTTTTTTTTCGTAGATAATTTAAAAGTTCGTTGAAGATGTATTTTTGTGGAAAAGTAAGTTTGTTGTTTGCAGCCTGTTATTTGGTTAACAAGTGTCATCGGTAACTAAAAGATTAAACATTCACAATGATACATATATAATGCGCCTATCATGTAATCTATTAAAAACAAATTTTTGGTTCAATCTTTGAACTTAATACACACAATATATCCCAATTGGATACTACTATTAGGCGAGGAATAATTGTCCCTATAATCACGTTTTTCTTTCATTGTTATGTAAATGACCTATAAACTGAATAAGTACCTTAAAACTATAAATATGTTAAGCAATTTTTTTACCACCCTTGTCTTTGTGACCAATATTTTCCAAAAAAATATTTTGCATTCAATAAAAAAGACTTATTTTCACGTCAGCTATAATTATTATTTGACATTCATCTCTACATGAGTGCTTGCGTCAATACTTCAATCAGGTGACCAGCTATAGTTGTGCGTAATCCATCAATAAACATTCCATCCATCATTAAAACAATAATCTGAAACGCCTCCATAATAAACTTTAAAATAATCAGGATAACCAAACATCAATTATAAGTATAAACATATGCCAGTAATATGGTTGATTCATTCGCCAAATACTTGAGTATGAATCACACTCTAAATGTGAGGACTAGTCATACTACGTGGTTGACGAAACCGATGAGGGTGAAACAGGGTTTCAATATGGAACTTCACGACTGACTGAAAGTCAAATATCTTAACCACTATGCCACTTCTCCAAATATTAATTAGGTTTTACTCAGTCAATATTGATCGGTTAATAAATAATATATTCAGAAACATCCAAATAGCTGAGTCTTTAAACTAGACAGCATCACTTATTCTCCTGAACAAAACTAACATATCTATATATAAGCATTCCAATATGTTAGATAGCAAATTATAAATGTACTAACAATAATCAGTGGGTAGTTATTTTGTCTCTTTGAAAATGTATGACTGTTATATATTTAAGTGAATTAAATAATAGAATTCATCCACAAATATATGTACTTCATCCAGTCACTTTAATCCAGTGTTGTTCTTATCATTTTTCATGTTAATATTTTTTTAATTTTTCATATAAATATACTTACAGCTATGTGTATAAATCGAGGTCTATTATGAATTCATGTTTTATAGATAGTAAGCTGCATATTAACATATATTTCAAATTAATCGTTGTATAGCTATATTTATCGGTTTGATGTTAAATAAGAACGTTTATTTCTGATTAAATGAATGCCCTTGACTTCAGGTTTATATATATTTTTTTTCAACTAGTTCTACATAGTTAATTGGCACTTTTTAATAAAACTTGGATTATCTAGATATCGTGTTAGTTGGTTAATTGAGTGAACGTTGTTAATATCGAGTTTATATGATCATATTAACTTATTATGATTCATTGATTAGGAAATTCTAAGGGTTATGTAATAATTTATGATTCGGAGAATGGCTAATACAGCAATGTCCATTTCGAAGATGACTTAGATTGAAGAGTAATAATCTCATAAATAAGGATCAAGTTTTTTTTCTGTCACATTCCTTCCTGAAACACGGTCAAAACTATATTTTTGATTGGTGTTAGACCTCAAGGTTGATTGTATTTAGGCCGGACATAAATATACTATAACTACGTTAAACTACAAAGTATTAAAACGTTAACAAGCTCATAATTTTTCCTCTGTAAAACTATGCTCTGAACTTCAAAATAGGTTGCATGTTGCTTCCATCATATCTGATGAGTCATGACTAGTCATTAATATTAACTCCTCGGAAGATTACACTTTGTAACATACAATATAACGAGGTTCTATGAATTTGCCTTTTGAATCACTGGTCATTCTCGATTTTAAAAATACTTTTCTTGTGCTGCAGTTATAATTAGCGAACAATTTAAAATCTTTTTTCGTAGCATGGAATAATATTTCTTCATATATGAAGCAGAACCTAACCATTTTTTGCGTTTATTAATCGTTTATTGTATAATATAATAAATTATTGTAAAGAAAAATAAACTGCACACTGAAATAGTTGATGACCATTTGATTTTTCTCCACCGATTGACAATATTTTAAATGAAATACTGGTCATTATCAAAAGAAAACTGCCAAGTCATTTCATTTAGATTATAATGGTTGAGTTGTAGATTTGTTCCGAATCATCATCGCCCCATGTTCTAAATGAATTATTGACACTATTTATTCAGTAGTTTAAAATTTTAATGGTTGACATCTTTCTTATTGACTGTAATATTTTACATTATACAATTTATCTGGAAAATACTCTAATTCGACCGAACAGGTTATTTTTCTATTTAACTTAAAATCACCGGTTGGATCAGGTTATCTATACATTTTTGATTTTGATAATTTGACGATTTAAGAATACTAACAAACTGACCTGTTTACATTGTAGTAAACGAATGAATAATCACATCGTATAACCCAATGATTATTTTTGTATTTACTTACTAGATTTTGCAGTACAGTTAATTCCGATGAGCTAACTAAATCACTTTATGGTTCTACCCTTTTGGTTACTGTGAGATAATTTGAACCATAGACTTAACTCTATGAAGCCTAATAATCGTTAGCTAAAACGTCAAATATACTACACACTGTTGAGGGATTCAGAGTGAAAAACATGAGCAACCATTTTTTACCTGCTAATGATTCCTTAAACATGTGTTTGTGAGGATTTTTGAAGACTGAGTTCATCAGTTTATGTTGGTGTTTCAACTTCGTAATTACATGTCTTGATATTTCCCACTTTTTGAAAGGAATACTCGTGGTTAGGATGCACGTTTCCTGAAAACTGAATCCTTTCAACCGGGTAAACTTCCATTAATTCAAAATGTAAGTTTATTTATGCCTACTTAGAATCCAAATATATAAAATCATATAAGATGTATGGAGAAGATATTTTTGTTCAA